CATAATAAATACAACAAATTAGAATATGCTTCATGAAATGTTGTTCATGATATTTCTAACATTGGTCAAAACTCTTAAAGGTAAAGCACATACCCTTCAACTTTAAAAAACATGCAACTTCACTTTGACATTACACTGTCATAAATTTAGAGTTGTTATTAGACTGTCATAACATTAAAATCATGACTTGTCATATGTTTTGTTGTGGCTGAGTACAGATATAATGTACACATAAATGTATTTGGGTTTGTTTATTGTGGGCTATCATTTTCCAACATTCACCAAAGCAACATGTATTAAAGTCAATACAAAATTTCCCCCAAAACACTGTATGTGGTTAGATAGATATGTATGTCATGGATTTGGCAAGAGGGCAATTTTTCATCAAATTAAAGACATCCAGCACCAACATGGGTTCTCAAGCATTGAGAATTGGACAGAGTGACACCACACAGGCCATGACCCAACAGCACAGTTATTGGTCACCATGAGTGGACTTCACTTGGACATGTACAACCGACAGGTCTTAATAAGCAAACCATCCAAGAGGATCCATTTGACAGGGGAAATTAATCATCGTGAACGTCTTGCCCAAACCCTGACTGAATGCTTTTCAATATATTGCACCAAAATTAAGAGTAATTTCCAAATGGGACAGGAGTTTTGCTGCGTGTAAGATTTGTACTCATTTTAATGGTAAAATTCCATGTGTACATTAAATGGCAAAGGCAAAGTTTCAAATCTGATGCATACATTTCTACAGAAAGATTGTTCTTAACAACCTAAAAGCTTGCCAGATGCTTGCCTGATAGACTGTAGAAACACATACATGTAATGTATGCAGACTGGATTCCTAGTATTGTAGTTCATTTATTAATAACAGGTTAATTGAATAACTTGTCACTAGGTCCCCAGGAAAGAAACATCCATAAATTAGAATATGCTGGTAAACCAGTCTATTTTGAGGCAATAGGCCATACATGTCAAGTAGGTAGGACAAACATTATGGATTGTCCTACCTAGCAACAATAAATGTATGCGATTTGCATTCTGACTTTTGAAATACAATTATGTGTAACAGGTGAATGAAAAAATTGTGATGGGGCACTTAAAAAAGACTTATAAATGCATTAAATTTGATTACATTACGAAAATGGCCTACATAATGCACATGGACTACTTGAGAGTGTGGCTTCAACAGTGGATTTCATGATTACGAAACCTCAACATCAACAAATAGCGCCAGAAACTAATAGCAACAGGCACACACATGTGGTCGGTCCTTGGCATGTATTAACGCCAACCAAAACAACCACAAAGAAAATCCTTTAGTACGAACCAACGGTGCATTAGCTTGCTCAAAGTCAAACCACAAAATATCTCCATGATTTCATTTCCTCATTGACTATATACATACTAGGCCTGTCCTCATCAGCTCGAGATTGCCAAATATTCTGCTATTTGAACTATCCGGATCGCAAATTATCCAGTTAATTTACGTCTTCATCAGTATGAAGTTGAATTTAATAGCGGGATATTTGGTCGAGATAATCATCCAAGATATCTTGGGCTAGTTCGCAAAGTATCCTGCTATTTTTCCGGTGTGTATTCACCAGCCCGAAGACTTGCACTATGCGCGAACGCTATTAAAGCAAAATATCACAAGCTGATGAAGACGCAATTTGTAACTTCAGGATTATTTCTCAAATCAGAATTAGCGGGCTATTTGGCAATCTCGAGCTGATGAAGGCAGGCCTACTGTGAATTGTATTCACATTCAACTACTGTTTGCTATGAATGAGGTAGAAGAAAAGGACAATCACAAAAGAATTTCATATTTTTATTGGCTTTTATGGGAGTAGTGACTCAGTAATAGCCCATTGGCTTCAAATCTTATTTGACAAGATTGAATGACAGCTTCATAGTGGTTTATGCTGGTATCCATTACAGAAATAGAAATAGAATACAAATAGAAATGAACATTCCACAGTTACTTCTTAGCTCTTTATGTACATGTTCATGTGTAAATGGTATGCCCTGCAGTGAACTTTATAGATTCAAATTTCAGTGTCAGAAGAGGCAGTTACATTTACAGGCCATTTTCGTAATGTAGTAAAAATATAATGCATAAATCTTTGGGAAGTGCCATTTTACAATTCACCTGTTAAAAATAAGTGTAATTCAATGGTCAAAAAGTGAATTGCATAGTGCATACATCAGTAAGTTAACAACACAGAATGTACATGTACAATGTATACGATTCACATTCCGACTACTGAAATAAAATTATTTGTAACAGGTGACTGAAATAATTATTAACATGGCACTAAACAAATATTTATGAATTATATTTTATCAAATTACATAAGTGGTCTATTGGAAACGGGGTAGCATTTCCAGTGTTGGTAAATAAATACCACATATGCAAGTCGACATAATAACTGATTTCAACATGTACAGTGTATGTACATTTATCTTGCAGTATTACTGAATATAGAATCTTAATGTGGATTGTGATATGATATACAATCTCTCCCTTTCCATTTTAATTTATGGGAAAATAGGCAATGAAAGAGATTGCTGCACCAAGCGATATGAGTCCCCTGCCGGGATTTGTATTTATTGCCCGATACGGTCCACTGGGCCATGAAATTTTAATTCGCATTTTCTCCTCATTTGTTCGAAAATCCGCAGGCGACCTGCAGGAGCGTCCCAATGCTATAGCATGTGTTTGGAGGTAAAAAGGGCGTTGACTTGTATCATTTTACAGAGAGTTAATGCCCTTCTGGCTCCGAAGGGACGGTGTGTATGAATCGTATGAGTCACACGCTTGCTCAGTGGGGCAGGGAAGGCCTTTGGAAATATGACTGGCTGAACTTAATGGCTCACTAAAGAAGAGCCTGATTGCATGGATCACTCACACGCTTTCTCTTGTCTATCCAACTCTCTCTCTCTCTCTCTCTCTTTCTCTCTCTATACAACAGTCTCCCCCTCTCTCTCTCTCTATACAACACTCTCTCTCTCTCTCTCTTTCTCTCTCTATACAACAGTCTCCCCCTCTCTCTCTCTCTATACAACACTCTCTCTCTCTCTCTCTTTCTCTCTCTATACAACAGTCTCCCCCTCTCTCTCTCTCTATACAACACTCTCTCTCTCTCTCTCTTTCTCTCTCTATACAACAGTCTCCCCCTCTCTCTCTCTCTATACAACACTCTCTCTCTCTCTCTCTTTCTCTCTCTATACAACAGTCTTCCCCTCTCTCTCTCTCTCTCTCTCTCTCTATACAACATTCTCTATCTCTCTCTTTCTTTCTTTCTTTCTCTCTCTCTCTCTCTCTCTCTCCCTCTCTCTCTTTACTTTTTTTGATTGGTTTGTCTGATTTTTCTGATTGTATTATAAGTGAGTTATTTTTGGAGTGGACTTGGCCTTTAAGTCACTCACTCGATATGTCTGCCTGAGAGAAGATATCAATCCGTTGTACACTCAGTCACATAATTGATAGGTTCTTTTTCTTTATTCCCTCATCACAGCTCAGTCTTCTTTTAATTTGATACCTGTACCCGAGGTGAAAGGATGAGGCTCCTTAGGTTGCCCATTCATTCATGTATCACCATAACAACGTGCACGTAGATATCCATGTACATGTATATGTACATGTATGTAAGACTGTTCTGAATTGGAGTGGAGAAGAATGATTTTTCCCTTCTCTATTAAAGTTCGATCCACAGATCATGATATTGAAAGAAAAGAAGGGGTTTTCTATCATGGACATCCACTAAATTAAATGTGATGCCTATAAAATGTGTGATTTGAAAATAAAATTACATGTTTTTAAACTGGTTCCAAAATTATCCTTGGGATCTTGTACAGAAAATTTGTAGCCTATTTCAAGCCTCAGTCACAAATGCCATTACGAACCGCTATGAACGCTATGATTTTCAGACAATGGAAAATCGGGAAGACAATGGAAAAACGGAGATTCGTACGAAATTATTGTTCGTACGAACCCCTGTGACCGTAGCTTAACCAATGAGCCTCTTTGAAGGTCAAAATAGAGGTGTTTTGCAATCTTCAAAATAGCTCTGATAGAATATGCAATTTGAACAGCTTCCTCCTGAACAAATATTTATATTTTTTGTATTGCCTTCCATATTCTCAAAGGTTATGCAAAGTTTTGGGAAATTTTGAAAATTGGATGGATAGTAATTCTTTAGAATGATGTTATATCTTGATGGCCCTGTGGATGTATTATAAGCAAAAAAATGTCTAGCCCCTAAAACGCTTCTGCTTTTGAGAAATTGAATAAATCAAAATTTACTGGTGCTCCCGGTAAATTTCAAATATTTCGAATATTTCTAAGGCCATTCCATGGTAGCTGTGACTATGAAAATCTTAGAATATGCAGTTCGGCTATATAATTTCCAAACGGGAATAGAAAATCGGTCGAGTATAGTCAGGAAACATTTTTTCAAAGCTAAAGTAATATCAGTCTTGAGAGGGAGCCACACAACATAAAGATTTTATTATTTACAATTTCATTACTTTAGACTCGATTTCAACCACGACAACGATCATTGCATATTGCAAAATCGCATATGTTCCAATATGTTCATTTGAACCAAATTCATGACCCCATACCAAAACTTTGTATTACCTTTAAACAATACATATCTAATAATAATTTAGGTTAGAATCAAGTACCACTCGATGAAGCGACTGGAAGTTTTTAAACAGGATAATCACCTCTCACTTCTGTACACCGATGCTGATGCTGAAACCATGCATATACATTAAGGCTTAAACAAAATCAAATGTGTCACAAAAATTGTGCCATCGAGTCTTCCCATTGGCTAGCTGGGTAACTGCATTCACTCTAAACTCATTTATCATTAATGAGATTACATGTACATGTACATGTAAATCATTCTGTATAATTATGTAGGATGTGTTGTACAACTACTTTTGATGATGAATTTATAAATTAAATCAAATCATCTTACCAGTTCGAGACCCTGATGGAAGGGTACATCTTCCCAGTCTTTCTCCGGAAACCTTTGAAGGATCTTCCCGAAACCCACATGGTGACCCTTGCACAGTGGAGCTGTCAGGAAAACAAAACAACGATAACAAAAACATTAATATTCCATTTGATTCCACTAGTGTCTTGACTCTTTGGCAATACATTAATCTACATTTGCTACACTCCAAGGAAACAAAACAACAATAACAACAACATTAATATTCCATTTGATTCCACTGGTGTCTTGACTCTTTTGCAAGACATTAATATACATTTGCCACTCTCCACCCAGGTGGATAGGTACTGGTAGGAAGGAATTCAGTGAATGCTGTAAGCACCCACACCAGTAGCCTAGCTACAGATGAGGTAAAACTAGTGCCTTGAGTATTTTGTGTGGTGTGGTTCATATGAGCTATACAAATATCAAATAGGCCTATCATTATTATCAGTATTGTTATTTTCTCAACAATCCATCCCACTTAATGATGTAAAACAATAACAAAACAAATACTTTCAGCAAGCTTTAACAGGCTGGACAGGTTGGACAGGTTTCAACTTTCGAGAGTCGGATGAACAAAAGTGCATTGACACCATTCTTGTGACCCAAATGTTACCATGTGATCATGAGACCATGTGATCAGTGACCCAAACATGCTGTTATCAAACATACGTGTACCAGCAAAACAGATAACATGCTTCGGGCGTATGACTGATAAGTGAAAGGAGATATGGTGATTTGAGGCCAAAGGAGAATCAGGCCATGTAAAAAAATATACATGTACATGTTTAGCATCCCCCGCCCGCTTCCTTTTTGGAGGCCGCCTCCTATTTCTTTTTTTTTCTTTTTTTTTTTTTCAAAGAAAAAAACATGAAAAACAATGCAAAAATGGATCGATTTCTGATTTAAAAAAAATATAAAAAAAATGTCGACGGCCATCTTGAAAAATAGCCCCACTGACAGGGAAAATGTACCGAGCGGCCATTTTGAAAGAAAAAAAAAGAAAAAAAAGGGCCTCCTCCTTCCTGATTTTCCCCAAAACAGGACGCTATAAAACATGTTTTTTTTTTTAATTGGCCTTAACTTTTGTCATTTTATACAGAGCTAATAGCCCATTACTCATCTGTCTCCAAATCTGGACATATTGTACATGTGTAAGTACATGTACATGTATGTCCTAGAAGTGCCTCGTATTGAGTATAATGCACTACAAGGAGACTTCACTGAATGAACATTTATCACCATACAAGGACCATCATCACAAAAGAAAAAATGTCATAATGTGATATCAATGTAGCGTTTCAAAATTGTAATCAGTTCAAGAAGATTGGTCTGATAGTGTAGATTAAATATATATGGTATGTACACAATAAGTACCGGTACTATAAATCTCAGTGTATAAGACGCACCTTTTTACTGCCAATTTTTTTTTTTGAAAGTCGGGGGGTGCGTCTTATACACAGGAACAAAAACAAAAACAAAACAAAAAGTGTTGATTTATGCCAGATCTGCACTGTGCCTGGTAATGTCCTAGCTCAGTCATACAAGGTGTGCTGGCTCACCACTCGGAAACCCGAACAACACTAGTATGGCCGGATTTCTGTTTGGACTTAGAGGAAAATTTGTCTGTCATCTTTAGTTTTAAAAGCAACATTGTTACTATTATTTGTGACAAGTTCACAAGCACAATTCAGTGCCTTCAACTGTACCTCGCAGTATAACAATAAAGGTCCTTCCCGCGTGGATTTCTGAACACGGACCTCAGAGATTTACGGTATTCAATTCAAATTAAATTTATTTCCTCTCATGAAACGTAAAATATAACAAAGGTAAACATAAACATGTACTGTAGATCACAAGTACAGTAAGTGTTAAAGAACCCTGTTTCCACTTTCAGATTTTATGTTTTTTGGCACCTGTTCACAAAAGGAAAATTATAATTGTAATCCGTGAATCCAGCTTGAGTTTATAGCACTACAGCTCTACAGTGCGCATGAAATGCCAGACTTGAATAGGAATAAAAAAATCCCCCCATCACCCCCCCCCCCCTCCAAGTTTTAAATTGTTTGTCCTCGCCGCGCCTGTGAAATAATGTACACTAGCAGGACCCATGGAAAATCCACGGGATTCTAGGGGAGGGGGAAGGGGGGGCGGTAAATAGAAAGAGGCCTTCATGTATGTGCTATCGAAAAAAAAATTTGATTATATTTCTATAGGGTCTAGACGATTTGTATAATATACGCTGTTTGACCATGAATGGCGCACCATAATACCCGTTTTAATGCATTGATTTGATGAAGAAACTGTATCATACTTTTAGTAAAAGTATTCTATCCAGCATGGCTATATATTTAAACGACCATCTGAATTTTCTTGTGAAAACTTTACTTTGAAAAATGATTAACGAAATTCAGCATAAAACTATACATGGGCAGAACAATCACAATCTAAGCTCAGGTTTCATACCTCTATAGTCACGAAACTATATTGAGATAGGGGCAACAACAGCAATTTCAAAGTGTTGTCGAGTCTCAGCTCACATGCACACAGTCACAGTTCCGACAGTGCTCGGCAGCAGTGGCGCACTGCACTGTCCGTGCGTGGACTCGAGCCCCACGGCAGCTAGCTTGCAACTGGACTGTCAATTACGATGAATTTCTTGTGAAAACTTTACTTTGAAGAATGATTCTCAAAATTCAGTAAACATGGACAGGATAATACCAAAGTAACCCTGCTTGCATACCTCTATTCACGTAAACTATATACAAATCACGGCAATCATCATAGAATCAGAGTCGAAGCGACTGAGCTGTGCGTGTGACGGTGAGCGTAGAATCATCGCACACATTATACACGTACGTTCGTAAACGAAGCAGGTCCGCCTGGCCTACAAAGCATATCCTATAGAAAGACGCATAACACAGGTAAGCCCAACCCGTGAGAGCGTGCATTTTCTACATGCCATCACCCGGGTAATTCATCTGTTAATGTGTATTTCTCTTGCATGCTACAAAGCATATCCTATAGCAAGATATCTAAACTCGGGGTAAGCCACACCCGTTACTACGTGATGTGCTACATCCATTGACAGAAGTAGATTCTCGTCCGCTGTGTGTCTCTTTGTTGATTGCACAGAGGGCGAATGCACGCCTTACCGACTCGCTCTTGCGAGTTCGTCGCCTCCTGGCAATCCGCGACGCCCGCCGTGCTTTCGTCCACCCGTCCTCCCCGGAACCTCGAATACCACGTTTAACGGCATGGACGTCGATCGCGGGGTCGACGTGGCACGCGGGTTACGGGAGACATGCCTCGTGTAATTGTGTCGCCGTTCCCGCGCCACGGCGGAGGCGGGCGCGGTCGGGGGAAGGCGTTTTTGAGGAACCGTTTTGCCCCGTTTTGGACCCCCCGCGGCGATTTTGCGTATTAATAATATAGATTGCACAATATCCTTGCACTCTCTCTCTCTCTCTCTCTCCCATTCAATCACCCTCCCTTGCACCATGCTAATAATAACGCATCCATTCTCCTTCACTTCTACATTAGCTCTCATCCATTAGGCTAGGCTTTATTCAAGCAGTTTGTAAACACAAACCCTTTACTGAGGCCTGAGGGAAACATAACTCTTGGTCTAAACTGCAAGACTACATGTACATAGAGTGCACTGCTTGTTTGTTATTTTGTCTGTGTTTTTGTTACTATAGCCACTCCTGACATCAATGGACTAACAGACTGAGAGTATAGTTAAATGCTAGACTAAAGTCAAGGCTTTTTGGAATTTATTTAGGAGTCAAAATAGAGTCTGTTCCTGGAGACTAACATTAAATGACTTGGAGCTGCCATCCTCGTTTTACTCCCTAAATCTGTCATAATTGGATGGTATTATTTACGCCGTTTGTGGCAGCCCTGTCTATCACTGTACAGTGTGCATAGCAAGCATTCTCAGGGTGAACTCAAGGTCCACTCACAATGCACACATTTCATTTACTGGAGACGATCGTGTAAACAGATTTGTTTACAGTTACGTTTGTTAGATACAAAATACATAAAATCATTTTAATGTGTCAAGTAATGTCATGGCATTCTATCAGTTTACAATTAATCCTCGTTTTACTTCCTAAATCTGTCACAACTGAATAATAATATTTGTGGTAACTTTCTACTACTAGTACTGTTCTTGCACATATCAAGCATTCTTCATGGGAACTCAAGGTCCCCTTCTAATACCAACATTTTGGCATTACAACCATCTAACAAATACAATTATTTGTGTACAGTGAGTCTATACATACATACATGTACAAAATACAAAATAAAAATGAATCCACCTCACAATCTATAGAAAATAGATGATAACATAATAAAAACAAGCGCAAAGAGCCTTGGTCAAACATGGATTATGTGTGCATGCCCACACGTAGGCTCACAATTGTAGTTAATATGTGATCGTAAACATAAATGTCTAAATTGTCTTTTGGATAGAGTTTGTTATCATAGTTCTTTGAAACACTTTCCGTTCGGTGTTACTGAACTCCTGATAGATACACAAACATGACCCAAATACTTCAAACTTTTGACTTCATATCTATAGCGAAGTTCACATTATCACATAACAGTCTGTAAACTTGAAGTTTAGGTCACAGTTTTAAAGCCTGCACTTGCAGACTAACATGTTGCTGTTTAGTTCCCTTCCACACCTTCCCATTGCTGATCTTTGCAGAACACATTCCTTTTCAAGGGCACAGTTATAATGCAGATCTCAATGAATATACACGCCTAATTAGCACTGCCTCGTTTCCATGGATACAATATCAATTAATCAACAAGCACTTCAGTGTTGATAAAACAGCCCATTTTAACATCAACATAATTGGCTAGTGGTTAAGCTTTCGAACGGCCTTTATAAATCTACCCTTAGTACCCTGCAATGTAGATGAATTATGAATGTTTATCTCAGAATTGTCAATTTAATTACAATTTTGGCAGGGCTAACCTCCATCTGATTTTCATTTTGCTTTATGAGGGTAGTATCCTTTACAATAATAGTAATAATAATAGTGGGTTGTTGTAAAGCAATCATGGCTGTCAGACTTGACACTCC